ATAGGTGCAACACTGGAAAACCCAAGTTCCTTAAATTGGACTTTCATTATTTAATCAACATCATTCATAGTGCCTGTGTGACTAACTTCAGTTGAAGTTGTCCAGATACTCTCATCTATATTGGGTCACCAGTGACGAGAGCACATGTACACAATAATCCAAACATTCTGGCCAAATTGAAACACTGGGTGATGTATATTTGTGTTACTTGTAGCTTGACCATCTGACTAGGTTGGGCATAAAGGACTATTAAACAAATTTTAATTATATATATTTGGATACCCATAAAATAAACATAGTGAACAATTACTGTCTGTTACTTAAGGCAAATTCATCAGAGAATCTAGGAACATTAAATGTTACTACTACCCTCCAACATCATGTTGTCACCTACTTAAAAAATTGACTATAACCACTCATCCAATTTACCCAGAGCTTTACAAAATAATATTTACCTTTATTTATTTATATACATGTGCTTAGCACATAATTCACAGGAAATTTAGGTATATTTACTCACAGTGGAGGATGCATTGTCTCCCTGAGTCGATTGAGAAAATGACATGACTAGTTTCAATGTGAATCTTACTTATTGCAGGTGCTTTTATCTGTAGCAGAAATTACCAATTCTTGTGATACTGAAACTGAGGAAATTCATTGAAAGAAAATTATCCACTCACATTACCTTATTTGTGTGTGTGTGTGTGTGTGTGTGTCACCCATACATGCACAAATATGTATAATTTGAAATGTATGCAAATATCAAGGAGCAATATTCAACAGCCCATCTAAAATTTCAACATAGTTGTTTACCTCAATGTTTCTCAATGTTTTAATAAACATTGTCTACTACATTCAAAAATTAACTATAATTTCTCAACTGCAATAATGTGCTTAAGTTTTGGAGGTAAGTATTGTGCATTTCATTATTTAACAATAAACAACACACCATAGAAAGCATAAGTCCTCAGCACTTTAGTCTCAATATTTTTGAAATGTAGAGATATTCCAATCTATCTTTTTAGTCACTTATCATTCATTTCCCTTTAATAATTTTAATTTACAAAATCACCTTTTTCACATGCAAATTCCACTTTATTGATTTGTATACCTTATAAATCAGGTAGTTTTAATTCAGAGACAGTCTGAGATATTTACAGTTAATTTCTTCCAAAGTAAGAAAATGTCTTTTTTGAAAAAAAGTTTTGCAAATTAATTTATTTATTTGTTGAAATGATTGATGTCTGTAGTAATATTGTTTACATATGTCTTCTTTTCATAGTTGATTCTAACATAGCACTTCTGCTTCAGGCTCCATAATCTAAAGTCTCCCTGTGATAGTTATGCATGAAAAATAGAGTCAAATGAAAAAATATTTTCATATCATAATTTTCTCACGTAAGTGAAATAGCACATCAAATAATTTCAATCAATTAATACTAGGGAACAATTTACTAACTACTGTGTGAGAAAAACAAATAGTCACTGGATTAATAAAAAAGAAAATTTATGTGCATCTATGCTGTCTTGCAGGTTTTAAATGGATTTTTTAGCTTTGACCTAATAGTTTGAAAAGGGAAAATGCTTAGAAATTTTCTATTTTTCTTGGGTTCTATTGTTCAGAGAGACCAAACATATCTGAAGTTTTAAATATTTATTTGTGGTTTTAAGTATTATATTTTAATCTAACTGAAATCAAGCTCCTAAAAAGATAACATTTTCCTTTTCTCACTAAAACCCCAGTATCAGGAATAGTTTTTAAATGGCTGTGGGTGACCAGTGAAAAAAAAAATGTGGATAAAGACCTTAGCTTGTGCTTAGCACATGTTTACAAGAGTTTTATTATTTTAGATCTATAAGGAATGTGTTAATTGAAAGTGATTGAGAAATAGGTAATCTCCTTTAGATCTAGTTACCTGTAAATAATTGAGAATTGACCATTGAGAATAATGTTTGTAGCCAATGAATTACCTAAAAATATTTTTAACTATGATATATGTACTTGGAACTAAACATACACTAATTTCTGGGTGTATGTTGAATTGAAAAGGTCAATAAGGTGAGAGCTTTTATATCATATATGGGCAGAAGGGAAATGGTCAGTATATAAGATCATGTAAACACAAAGTTACTTGAATTTCAGACTTTGGATGTTACGTATAATGTATAGGCTCCACATATCACAAACTTGGAGAACACATGCATTTCCAGAGATAATACAGAAAAATTAATGAGAAAAACAATTTATGTGGTTAATGTTCAAAGATGCTGAAAAGGGGGAAATTTTGGCAGGGCAGAGGAAATAACACAGTAGATTACTCACAGGCTTGTAATTTGTTAAGAGCTGTCCCAGAAATGGCAATTTGTAGTTCCAAAATGTGTAGTAAATATAGATAATACATTTCAATAATCATTATATAAATGGGAAAAAGAAAAATTAGTGAGAAGAATCAATAGCAAAAGGTCAAATCAGTTTATAGAAAAACAAATATATAAGATGTCAGAAGGCATTGAGACCAAATCTCTTTCGTACATTTCATATGGAGACATTAGATGTTCCTGTACTGAGAAGTCATCCTCTAGAGCACCTGCACTGAACCATTGTTCGGGTTCTCATACTCAAAATGGTGATATTAAAATAGTAGCAACTGTGGAATTCAGAGAAGATAGGAAATTAAACCACAGGGGACTGGAATAATGAATTTAATATTATAATTTGTTAAAGAGAAGAAAAGGTAAGCACAAGGAGTTATGTTTAAAATATTAAACTTCCATTTTAGTGTTATTGGATATGTTGCTTTCCTTGTGTGATCAGTGTTAAAATTAATTGCAAATTTAGACAGCAATGTAATTGTAAATGAAATTAAATTCCTAAACTGAGAATTACATCCAGAAGATATATATGGAAAAATAACTAATTGTGTTACAGCCATATGAGATTTAAAACACTAACTTTAAGTATGGGAATGTAGACAAACCATTGACAAATTATATCATAGTAAAATTTGAGTTTATATCCTCATATAACATATAGAATTTCTCTCTACTGAAGTTAAATTCAGATCAAAAAGTGCTTCTTGAAAAAACTGTAGTGAAGACCATTTTATTTTTTGCAAGTTTTGTCTAAGTGATTCTTTTACAATAAATGAATTTCCAGAAAATAATACTTCAAACTGAGATATGAGAGACAGATGCGCTGATCCTGCATACGACGTTAGAGTTGCCAGGCAGCTGCATCTAGGGTGGTCTCTCAGCTGGGATGGGGAGAGTTCTTGACTCTGAACAAGAAGGAATTCTTGAGCAGGTCGGACGAGTGTAAGGAAGGGATTCATTTGAGCGAGAGTAGAAGTGAATGGCAGCAGCCTCGCAGGCGGCTGAGAACAAGAAACTGTACAGGGACTGAGATAAAGTTTGCCGAACATTATCTTGGTATAGGGCACATTCATTTGCTGTCTCCCAAAGCCAGGGTCACTTGGCGTTCCGTCTGCCTGCATCTGCACTGCCTGGAGATCAGCCCCCAGTGTGGCGAGGTACAGAGGGCGGGATGGAGTGAGATGATGCTCTGAGAGCTTCCCAAAGGAAGGGGGTTTCCAGGCAGCTCCCGCAGCTGCAGCTCCATCCGGGTCACCCAGGAGACCGGGATGCGCAGGTCCAAGTCTGAGCTCTCTGAAGCCCATCCCTGCTTACCAGCGGTAAAGCAGAGACGAAGTGAGACTTAGAAATAGAATGAAGTAGAAAGAAACAAAGACGCTTACCACTGGAAAAGCAGAAACAAAACACAATAAAGTTGAGCAGTGAGAAAGCTTTATTTAAAGTTATGTACTTAGAGAAAAGGTGTGGTGTCCTCAGACAGGAGGTGAGCTAAAAGACTGGGGTTTCTGTCTTCTAAATATTTTTCAAAGGTCTAAGGGGTATAGACTTGTAAAGTGGTCTCAAAATGCTCATCTCTGGTGGGAGATGTTAAGTCTTTTCTATTATCAGTCCTCCAGGTAATTCTACAAAATTAACACAAGATATTGCTCAGTTCCTCTTCAGGATAACAGCTTCTCCCTAGGAATATATCAATCAAGACCACCCACCCTACCCCCAAAGTGGATTGAGTTATTGTCTCTTTGCTAAAGAATATGTTAGGAATCTTACTTCCTAACTTCCTCACTTTTAAAATGGAATCTTAGATTTAAGATGAAATATTTCCTGCTCTTACTATACTGTTCATATCTCACAATAGGCAGGAAAAGTTAACCATGATGCTTGTCCCACATCCCTGCCTTACATCAATAGCATCATTAAAGTTGAGTTTAACAGCAGGGGAAGTCTTTAGGGTAATTTTGTGCTCAGTTTTGCAGGTCATTTTGAAGCAATTATGGGCTTTTGAACCACAGATCATATTTTAAAAAGCAATGAGTTAAATCTCAACTGTGTGTCAATATCCAGGATGAATATAATGTCCAACTCTTAATAAAGCATTTAACTACACTTATTGGGGTGAGCATTTAATAATGTAGATAAATGTCAAATCATTATGCTGTATAAATGAAACCAATAAAATATTGTATATCAGCTAGAGTTCAACAAAAGCTCATTGAAAATTTAATCTGCTTGAAGACTTTACATATATATGAACTAAATAAAACCAGTAAAATAATAAACCTTGTGAGCTGGATATTGCTTAGCACCATAAGACGAGTGTAAGGAAGGGATTCATTTGAGTGATAGTGGAAGTGAATGGCAGCAGCCTTGCAGGTTAACATCATAACCCAACAGGGGAACTCAGCATTCCTGTCCACACCACGTTCCATGTTACCTACTCAGTAGTGGTGATAAGCCGAGAAGACCAAGACTAATGACGGACCTTTCCTAGACTCAGGGGGACAATTTTATGAATTAGAAGAAAAACTCTTTCAAGGAAAATATTCAAGGTGATATCCTAAATGGTTTTAGGAATCGTATGTTTCATGGTTTACTCCTTTTGTTTTCCAGATCAGCCAGCACTTCAAGAAATGGCTAATTCTACAGTGACTGAGTTTCTCCTCACGGGCTTTGCTGAGAAGTGGGAGCTAAGGCTTCTGCTCTCCCTGCTATTCCTTCTGATGTACCTGGCCACCCTCACAGGGAACATTCTTATCATCACTGCCACCACACTTGACCAGAACCTTCACACACCCATGTACTTCTTCCTCAGGAACCTGTCCATCTTAGACATGTGCTATGTTTCTGTCACTGTCCCCAGTGCCTGTGTCAACTCCCTCACTGACAACAGGGACATTTCAGTGGCTGGCTGTGCAGCTCAGATCTTCCTGGTCATTTATTGTATGTATGTGGAGCTCCTGTTCCTCACCATCATGGCCTGTGACCGCTATGTGGCCATCTGCCAGCCCCTCCACTACCCCGTCATCATAACCCACCAATTCTGTGTCTGGACAACACTGGTCTCCCTGCTCAGTGGCCTCATCTATGCAGGTGTGCACACAGGGAACACATTCCGGCTGTCCTTCTGCAAGTACAATGTGGTCCATCAGTTCTTCTGTGACATCCCTTCTCTGCTGAGCCTCTCCTGCTCTGACACCTTCAACAACTTTATATTACTTGTTGTTTCTGCCCTATTGATTGGTTGTGGGTCTTTTACGTTTATCACTGTGTCATATATTTACATATTTTCGACTGTGTTGAAGTTTCCAGTCAAGGAGAGAGGAAAGGCCTTCTCCACCTGTGTCCCTCACATTCTGGTGGTGTCTGTCTTCCTCAGTTCCACCAGCTCTGTGTACCTAAGGCCTTCAGGAGCCTCTGACATTCTCCAGGGAGTGATTCTTACTCTATGTTATACAATAGTTCCTCCATTCTTGAATCCCATTATCTACAGTCTTAGAAACACACAGGTAAAGGAAGCAGTAATGAAAGTAATATTAAGGAAATATTATTCAGGAGGTTAGTACAGATCCATTTCAGGTTCATCCCGATGTCATTGAGATCCAAACATCTATAAAATAACTGCTTGTCAAGGTTTTGTATATTAGACTGTTTACTCCAAAATATCTATCTTGGTATCTGAGTAATTAATGTATAAATTTCTCATTTTTGTGTTCTATGTTACCCTTTCCACTTATCCTACATGACACAAAGTTTAATATGTAGGTGCCACCAAATTAGTTCAGGAAATAACTTGTAGAATTTTTATTGTCCAATCACTTTGGAGCAAGCAGTGTTTTGTGAGTTTTACAAAAAAAACAGACTGTTTTTTAATTGTCATATATCTATAACATTAAATTCACATTCAAACATTTTTAAGTGTATATATTGGTACTGTTACTTAGATTCACATTATTATGCAACTGATACCCAGAACTTGAGCATGTTGCAAAACTGGAATTCTGTATACCCATTAAACCACTTCTTTCCATTTCCACCTGTGCTCTGTCCCTAGCAACAAACATTCTAATTTTTGTCTCTATGAATTTGACTTTCTGGGTACCTCATATAGATCGCCTTTAGAATTTGCCTTTTTATGGCTGGCTTATTTCACTTAACCATAGTTCTCAAGGTTCATCCATGTTGTAGGATGTGTTAGAATTCATTTTTTGAGGCCGAATAATATTCTGTTGCAGGTACATACCCATTTTTCTTACCCATTGTTCTCTCACTGGACACATGGCTTAGTTCTCCTTTGGTTATTTCCTTGTTTTAATTAATTGTGGTCTAGTTAAATAACAGAAGTAACTGAAGACTTTCTACACCAAGGGAAATTCACTTTTTTATCAAGTTAGTTTGAATGATTTAACTTTATAGCAATCTGTTCATCCTTGATAGTGTTTTGCATCACAAAAGAGGAAATTAGAAAGATAATTCTCAGATGTCTCCTAGAGGATAAAAAATCTTTAATTTTATTCAAGAGGAAAGTTTTAGGTACCATTGTTACAGAGACTTAGGGAGGAGACAAAGTTTGGCAATTACCAGGGGGGTGGATTTGACAGCATGTATGGTCTACATTTATTATTTTACACTGAATAGAAAATTAGGTTATATTAACTCAGTAAGCATATTCTTATATGTGTAGTTTCTCTCCCCATTTGTCTTTGTTCTTTAGCAGACATTATAGGAAGAGAAGAATTGTTTGGTTAAATGCAACTTCTGTGGGGCACAATTAAAATGTAGAAATAAAACGAAACAAGCAGTAGACTCAAACACTGAGTAATGATAGGTGGTTCCATGGGGGAGGGGTTGGGGTGGGTGTGTGGGATTTGTAGGGAAGATAAAGATACAGAAAATCTCAATCAAAATATAGGTTGAAATAAATATGCTTTGGTCATGGGGATGGAAGTGCAACATGGAGAATATAGTCAAGAGTTCTGTAATATCTTTCCCTGCTGACAGTAGCTACAGTAGTTGGGATGTGGGTTTAATATTTTATATAACTGTTGGATCACTTTTCTGTATACTTGAAACCAATATAACATTGTATACCAACTATACTTCAATAAAAATAAATGAATAAATACATAAATAACTAGAATTTCATATATATAAGATACATGCATATATTTTTAAAGAGGACTTTACCCAGATTATCTAAAAAGTTAATTAAAGAAAATTTAATTAAATTAAAAACTCAAACAACCATATAAAAAAGGACAAAAACTTCATAAAATGTTTAATCAAATATGATGAATATTATGTATAATCACATGAAACACATGTTCAACAGCATTAGTGGTAAATTGTCCAAATAAATACCATAATAATGTGCCTCTGCACATGTACTGGCTCATTAAAGTTATCGCTACATCAAATGAGGATGAGAATTTGGAATTAATATAATTCACTTGTCTTGCTGAATGAATGCACAATGGTATTCTGGATTACATACAATTTTGCTTGTTTCTAATAAATGTATACATATAGCCACATATGGCCATAAATTTTGATTCCTGGTCTTTTATTCTTAGAGAAGCAGTAATGTATGATCTCATAAAAACAGGAAAGTTCATAACAGCTTTATTCACATCCATTAAAAAGAAGCACTTCAAATGTTCTCAACAGGTAAACAAATTGTAGTACAGCCACAGGATGGAATGAAAAGCAGGTTTTAAAAGAACTGGAGAGTGGCAGATTGGCTGAATCCCAAAGATATTAATTAGCTGAGTGGGAAAAAAAGCCAATATCAAAAGGCCACAGAGTATATTATTCCATTCCTCTGACATTCTTGGAATAAATAGAATAGTGTTTTTAAAGGGTATAGGCGAAGGGAGACTGAGAACATAGCTGCAGAGATATGAAGTTTGGGAATTGTTATATGCTCTGTTCTGAATATTTGTAGTGAAAAATCTACATTTGTGTGAAAATGCATAAACTGTACAGTGAAAGCAATGAAATACATATGTACTAATTTTTTAAATATGAAAATTATAAACAAAAGTCTCCCATAAATATTCTCAAAATATATGTTAAGACACTACATAAAAAGAGAAATTTAAACCCAGTGTTCAAAATTGCTTGATATTGTTCCAGGGAAGGCACTCCCCCATCTCTCTCTCACACACACACACACACACATGCATGTGTGAACACACATTGGAATCAGGATTGAAATCAGACAAGCATAAGGAAAGAAATAATAAATATAAATATAAGAATTAATTATGTAGGAAACAGAAATAAAATAGAGAAAATTAATGAAACCAAAATTGTTACTTTGAAACATCAAAAACATTGACAATCTTTGGAGTGAATATCCAAGGAAAAAACAGAAAGACACAATTATTATATCTGAAATGAGAAAAGTGATATCATAGTCTATAATGTTTTAAAGGATAATACAGAATATTGTGAAGAAGTTTATGCCCACATTGATAACTTCAGTGTGACACTGAGATCTTCATTGTGATGGATTCATCCTTGAAAGACTTAAACTTCCAAAACTCACTTAACAATAGATATACAGCAAGTTCTTATAATTCTCAAATTAAATTGTATGTAAAAAACATATTCACACAAGAAGTGTCCAGATCTCATCAATTTCACTAGCAAAGTCCACCAAACATTAAGAAATACATACTATCAAATCCTATACAAACCTAATTAAATATGAAGGAATATTTTCCAAACCATTTTATAAGGTCAACATTGCCCTTATAGTGAAAAAGATAAAGCTATTACAATAACAGAAACTATGGACCAATATCCTATGCAATGAGGTGCTCACAAAGCCTGTGAGAAGAGCAGACCCCTCTCTCTTGCGACCTGCCTGTCCATCGGAGAGCTCCCATGCCTGGGGGACCAGAGCACCGCTGCGGGCCACCGAAACAGGCCCTGAGCTCCACGAGGATAGAAGCTGCTTTATTTGGGACCTTCCCTATGTCTCTCCATCTGGCTGTTAACCTGCATCCTTTAAGGAATCCTTATTAGAGTGGTTCATGTGTTTCCCTGAGTTGTGTGAGCAGCTCCAGAAAGTCAATTGAGCCTGAGGGGGAGTCCGTGGGAACCTCCAAAATGTAGGTGGTAGGTTGGAAGCACAGGAAACTGCCTGGAGCTTGTGACCAGCGTGTGGAGTGGGGGTGGGGGGGGTGGAGGGCAGTCCTGCAGGATGGAGCCTCTACCCTGGGGAATCGGGAGCTGTCTCTGGGCCGAAAGCATCAGAATAGAGTTGAGTTCTCAGACACCATGTCAGTGTTCAAAATTGCTTGGCATTGTTCCAGGGAAGGTTCCCTCCATCTCACACACACACACGCACACATGCGTGCACACACACTGGAATTAGGTCTGGGAAACCAAAAGGAGTTCCTCAAGGAACACACAATGTCGTGTTATTTTCATATTAGAAAATTGCTATTTTTATTTCCTCAAGTGCCATTTTGGTTGTTTATACTCTTCGTGTCACTAGTTACCTTTAAGTGACTCACTTGTTTTCTAATTGTAACATCTGCTTCTGGCTTACATCTGTTTTCATGGATTTTTTTACTCTCCATGTTTTGAATTTTTCTCCATGTTTGAGTGCCTGATAATTGTTGATTGGGTGCCAGATATTGGGAATTTAACCATGTTAGTATTATTTTGTATTCCACTAAAGATACCTTGCATTGTTCAGGTGCACAATTTAACCATTCAGAATCCCTTTATTGCCTTCCTGTCATCCCTTGAGGTTTATGAGATGTACTGGAAGAGGGTTATCCTGATGCAAATGTCTCCTGAACAGTCCACCGAGTGTCTTCTGAATGACGAGGTTTCCCATGTCAGCTGTCAGGCACAGGCACAGTCCCCGGCCCGTGTTAGCACCTGGCACTCTGCTCTCATCCGAGTCAGTAGCCCCTCCACTGACCTTTGGCAGTGCCCCCCAGTGCATGTGCAGATTTCCAGCATTATTCCCTGTAGACCACTACTACTTGGGATTCTGAAACGTATCCAGCTTGATCTGCCCAGAATACAGCTTCCATCTCACCGAGTCATGACTTCAATGGATTCAACCAAGATCCCACTTCCCCCAAGGTTCTCCCAGAGGCCCAGGCTTCTCACGGCCATCAGCTAGGGCAACTGTGGTCTTGACTCACTTGCCTGAAGTCTCTTGAAAATTTTTGTCCTTTGTTGTACAGTGTCCAGTGTCTTGAAATTGTTTTAAATGCGTTTTGAATGGGGTTCCCTGGTTATTCAGGTAGGTGCTCTGAAAACACGGGGCCCACAATAAGCATCAGCTATTGGTATTGACGCCCTGGGTCAGTCCCTCCCCTGAGAAGTGGGCCCTGAACTTACTGAGTTACTTGTCACAGATGAAACACAGTATAAGCGATGGGATGGCACATCGACGTCAAGTACTAACCAAACACGGGAGCCGTGCCGGGCACTCCCCCTGTTCTGGCACCGGCCAGCCCAACTGAACCCGATGCTGGGTCTTGAGGAGAAGCCCACAGGTCCCCGTGGCCAGTCCAGGGACCTGTTGCACAGTTACACGCACACTCCTCCTGTGCCACTAGAAGCTATGGATGAGGAGGCAGCCAATAGCATGACTTCAATCTTGTGGGAAATCTTGAGGAAGAATCACTCAGAGAAGCTGCTCCTGGTTTTCTGATCTACAGAAATAATGAAATAATAAACATTTACTTGAAACCATAAAGTTCTGGGGATATTTTTTAGGCATCCATTTATATTTAGTAAAGGTTTTGGTAACTGAAAGTGGGACAACGTCCTAAGTAAAAAATCTAAGCAGGAAATTCTTTGAACTCAGAAAGAAGACTTGGAGAAGCAGGAGTTAAAGTGCCAAGTGCCTGATGAAACCATTAACAGAAATGCCATGGAGTCGGAAAAAACTGTCACTTAGGGATTAAAGGGAAGTGGAAATGAAAGTACCAACTTCATTACGTAGTGTCAGAAAGTTTAGTAACACTCTTTTATGCAGAATGTGGAAAATATAATGAAGAATATGTCTATGCTGTGTTAAAAATACAGCCTAATTTCTTCTATCCTGCTTTTAATAAAATACAAGACAAAATGGGTAAAATGAGGAAAGAGTATTAAACAAGCTGAAGGTAGCATTTGATATTTTTCAATACACTCAGCCGTCACAGGTGTAAAATAAGGCTAACAATAAGAAACAGCTTCTGAGGAAAGAAGTAAACCAGAGCCCTTCAAGGAGTCCTGCTCATCTAGAACCTTGGGAAAGGCAGGCTTCAGCCCACTGGGAAGGGCAGCTGCTGGGCCTGTTAAACTGTGCAGTAAGAAAACCCAGAGGTGGCTCCTTAGATCCATCCTTTGAAATTAAATATAAGCCATCCTTGAATAAAATCAGAAAGTTGTCCTTGCTATGGGACTCAAACTGAACATTATTAATTATTAAGAACAATCCTTCGAAAGAAGTCAGTTTCCAAACAATACATCCAGAAATTGTAGAAAAGTAAATAAGGTAGAATCCTTTTACAAGCAATAACTGAACAAAATACAGGTGATAGTAGCTACAAATCATCATGCTGTAAACTCAGTCCTCTTGGTCTTTATTTCCTTAGCTATTTTCTTCCTTCTCTGTTAAGATTTTGAATCCCTTTCAGTCACTTGTTACTCCTTAACTATGACACTCATAAAGACCCTCACCCTCATATTAGTCTTAGCATACTTATTTCCTCCTTGATAAGAGTCCAGCATCTGCCTACAATTCCCAAGGAATTTGATTAAGAAAATTATACTAAATGTACTATCTATATTTACCTTCATTTAATTTCTACCTCATTCCCTTTGCCAAGAATTTTATATGAATAAGCTGCTCTCCCAAATATATAGTGCATCCACTGCGTGGCTTTTGGATGGCCATCACCACACAGGGCACAGTGGCCAGAAGTCTACAAACTCTACATGTGGCATGTAGGACAGAGGCTCCCATTTGTATTAACATAACACCCATGGGCCTTTTGCAGGTGTTGGACATTTGCTCATATTTTCACAGTAGTAGGCCTTGGGGGAGGATGAAGAGATCATAGTGTACACTTGGATCTTCTTGACTATGACTGGTATGAGAAATGCTCACTAATTAATCCACTATTTTTATTTATTTTTTTTAGATAACCTTGATGAAATTTTCAGTAAAAACCTTAGCAATAAGACCACTCATCTGGGACCAAGGTATACCAAATGGCAATAGCATAATCATATATTAGCAAAAGATAAGCCATCATGTTTCATCCTAAAAATTGGTATTCATTTTGCTGTACTTTAGAGCTGGGCAGAAAAAAATGAGCCTTAATTTAAGAATTAATAACTTAGACACTGAAAGTGATTTCTGGCCCAACTTCTTCTAACCTTAATCCTCACTACTTCACACAAAGACTAAAAATTGGGAAAAATCATGTATTTTGGTTTAGAAATTCATGGGTGAACTACACAGTGAGAAAAACACCATAAGACTTAATATGTAAGCCAGTCCCTCACCATAAACATATAATGTGACAGGCACTGGTTTTCAGCAACAGAGTTCCAGGTACAATATTGACATTTTAAGGTGGAACATGTGTAATATTAAGGGGAACATGGTCTACTCAGGTCACTACAGAACTCTTCAGCATTTTTACAATTACCAATGTCTTAGAAAGTAACACTTTAAATAAGTAATCTATAATTTATCTAACAACACAATGTCTAGTTCTGATGGTCCTTCAGTTGAAGACAGGATCTGTCCCTTTCATCTGAGTGCTGCACACTTGGCTCCAGGATTAGACAGAAGTGAGCTACAAATTCTGATGTCAGTTACCCTCTTAGTATTATTGTATATTACAGTGCTGCCATTTGTTACCACTTTCTGGATGTTGTTGCACAGATACTATCCTATCCAATCATAAAAAAAATAGGAAAACTTAACACTTGCAAAGGTCTAATTGACCATGAAGGCTATTGATAGTCCATGGAGTTACAACAAACACTGGTGCAAATCTGAATTGATCATTTTATCTGTAGGAATAATTTATATTTCAGCTGAAGCTAGGTAACAATCACAAGGCATTATAAGGAACAGAGAGTACCTGCATCAGCGTAATTGTATGCTTCACTAAATTCCTTCTCAGGTAGTTAACTCTGCAAAACAGCAAATGACTTTGCTGATCATATAAGGAAATTGATATTCCAATGTGTCTTGGAATACATCTTATTCATTTGGGGCATTAGCCTGCTAAGGAAGACAAGAGTTGCTTATCCCCTCTTTGGGAAGTTCTCAGAACATAATCTCACTCCAACCTGTGCTCCATGGTTCCTCAAATCCTGGGGTGGTAGGGGCTGGTCCCCATGCAGTACAATTCCAATCAGACACAGGACACCAAGTGATCCTGGCTTTAAGAGATGGCAAGGGATTCTGCCCTACACCAAGAAAATGTTTAGAAAAGCTTCCCCCTGCACCTCTGCATTCTCCTGCTCTCAGCTGCCTACAAGGCTGATACCATTCATTTATATTCTTTCTCTAATGAATTCCTCCTTTACCTACATTCATCCAACCTGGCCAATAATTCTTTCTCAATCAGAGTCAAAAACTCTACCCCATCTACGTTAAGGTTTCACCTGGTGCATGGGGATAGGCATCCCAGATGCAACTTTCCAGCAAAAATACTATCAGTTCATGCATCAGAGTACCCTATATCTAAAGAAGATTAAAGGAATTAAAACATACCCACATACATGCAATGGAATCCCACGAGAATGCTACTTGAAATCAAGAGAGTAGTGATACAGACCTGGAAACCTATTTGCCCATTCTGTGTTGTCATCACAAAGCCTCAAAAAACAGAAATCAAGAAAAGTATCATTTAAGGAAAATAATCCACATAATGCATCATTTGTATAGATCTTAAAGCTAAGCACAACCTAATGAGAAGAGAGATGTGCAGAAATTTAAAAAGTTGTGTTGGCACAGTGGATATATGGATGAATATTTTTTAAAAAATCTAACACAAAAAGTTTGATCTTTTAACAATAAATGTAATTTTTAAAACAACAAAAATTAAAATAAAAGTAGCCATAACCATCCATCACAAGTTATGCTAGTGAAGTAAATGACTGTGACCTCTAAGTAATCCAAGAAACTCAGACCATTATTTATTTGCACAATTGAAGATCCTTTCATAAATATATGCAATAGCATTTTTTTTAACCAAGTATGAATTAACCACTTGGATTCCATTAATTTCATCCATAAATGTAGTTAATTAACATTAAAAACACATATTTAGTGCTGAAATATCCATGAATTGTGCCCCCATCAAATACTAAATATATTTCTTCCTATTCAAGTTGACTCATTTTTAAAATACAAGGACAGATAGACATATATGATGGAGAAAAACTGAAAAATTCTTAGGAGTTGACTGTAACTCCAGGGGGAAAATATGTTCCCAGCTGGGAGCAAACAAACCTTTGAAGCCAAAATTAGTCAAAGGGAGAAATAAAATTTAAAAATACCTTGTTATTGTGTACAGGCAGTCACCTACTCCTCCTCACCCATGTCTCTCATGGCTTGGCTGCCAAGGGCCACCAAACCTCTCCAGTCCAGGTGCCTGCTTGTGTTCCACCCCTACCCACCTGTAATCACCTAGTGACATGGAAATGGACCACTTCTCCCCTCCCCTCATAAATGCTTACTGATATGGAGATGCACAAAGGCCAGGTGAGAAATTCCAGAAATATTGCAATTTTACCTACAGTGCACCCCTCCAGAAATCTCACCTCACAATCTACTCATTCCCCATCTTCTGCAATGGCCCCTTTGTGAGATAACTGGAGGGCTGTAACCAGACTAACAACATACAATAACAACAGCAATAAAATGATAATCCTCAAGCCAAAGCATTCACCTAAATTCAAAGTCCTATGCAGATTAAGTCTGTAGTTTCCCCATTCCAGCAGGTGGTAGCTGAAGAGGTAGAGAGTTCAGAGCAATCATCATGTGGCAGGTCAAGCCAGGGGGTGGGTCCAGAACACAGAGACTATAAAGGAAAATAACTTTAAGGGTGATAAGATTCCTGCTTTAATGACACCAGTATTGGTAAATCTTGTCCATCAGGTTGCATGAAAGAAAGTTGTCCTGTGGTAGGACTGTGACAGGAATTGGATCTCATCCTGGTTTAGATGCAAAAGCCATGTAGGCAGAGGTTCCAAATGCTTCTACCAAACCCAGGCTGTCAGCCCCATTACTGAGGGAGTTACAGATGGGTCAATACACAGGGCTAAGGAAAGTACATGCACTGGCCATTAAGACAAAATAAAAGTTCCCCACACCAAGTGACCTGGATTTAATAGATGGCAAGGGATCTTGTTCCTTAGATCCATCGTTTGAAATTAAATATAAGCCATCCTTGAATAAAACTGGAATTTTTTATTTTAAATCCCCCACCATCTCCCGGGCTGAAGCCACTACTCTCTCCTCCCCCTCTCCCATGGCCTCCTGCAGCACTGATTCTCCAGCTGCCTCCCCACTGACTGCTGACACATCTTCCAGGAGCGTGACCTGTCTTCTCAGTAACGGCCTCTCTTTCTCAAGGGCATCTCACAGGTCATCACCCAGCTCCTCCAAGTGACACTGAAGTGTGGCTCTCTCCTCAA